CCACTCACAGAGCCCCCCCTGCCTCTCTTCCTCCCGAGTGCTGGAATTAAATGAGTGTGCCACCACCACCTGGCATAAGAAGCAATTTGTAACTCAGTTTTACCTCAAGATTGCAAAAAAATCTTTCGTTCATGACTAATGTTTGCTTCTTACTATAAAAAGGAGAGTTCAAAAACCACCCAATTCAGCTGGGCATTGGTGGCACACGCCTTTTTAATTCCAGCACTAGGGAGGCAAAGGCAGGCAGATCTCTGCGAGTTCAGGCCAGCCTGGTCTACAAAGCCGGTTCCAGGACAGCTTCCAAAACAAAACAGAGAAACCCTGTCTTGGAAAAAAAAAAAAACGGAAAAAAAAAAAACCACAAAAAAACGGAAAAAAAAACAACCACAAAACAAACAAAAAATGCCCAATTTGTCACAGTTTTTGAAGCCCGAACTCTGGCTGTGGTCACAGCTATAGGTGTTAAGCTTTTGCGCCCTGCGGAGATTTTTTCTTTTCTTTTCCTGGAATAAAGCTTGCTTCTGGTTTAATAGACTTTGGTGGTCTGTCCCCCATCATTGCATGACCCCAGACCCAACAGTGGGTTTAAAAAAATTTTTTTAGTGCTTTTTAAAATTTTTATTTACTTCACATCCCAACCGGTTTCCCCTCTCTCCACCCCCAATCCCCTCCTCCTGTTTCTGTTCAGAAAGGGGCAGGCTTCCCATGGTTATCAACAAAGCATGGCATATCAAGTTGCAGTAATTGTAAGTGTATTAAGGGTGGGCAAGGTAACTAGTGTGAGGATTAGGTTCTCAAGAGCCAGTTAAAGTGTTAAGGACAGCCCCTGCTCCCATTGTTAGAAGTCCAACAAGTAGATCAAGGCACACTGCTGTGGAATATTCCTTTACACTATGTGAATACATGTCACTATGACTGGTTAAATAAAGAAGCTGACTGGCCAGTAGCTGGGCAGAAAGAGATTGAGCAGGAGAGCCAAACTAGGAGAATACTGGGAGGAAGAAGGGTGGAGTCTGGAGTCATCAGCGGAGACAGAAACAAGATGGGCATGTCATACTGAGAGAAGGTACCAAGCCAAATGGCAGAGAGTAGATAAAAAATATGGGTTGTCAGGTGGTGGTGGCACACGCCTTTAATCCCAGCCCTCAGGAGGCAGAGGCAGGCAGATCTCTGTGAATTTAAGGCCAGCCTGGTCAACAGAGAAAGTTCCAGGACAAGCTCCAAGGTTCAGAGAAACCCTGTCTCAAAAAAAGCAAAAAGAAATAAATATGGGTTAATTTAAATGTAAGAGTTTGCTAATAACAAGCCTGAGCTATTGGTTGAGCATTTACAATTAATATTGAGTCTTTGTGTTGGTTATTTGAGAAATGGCTGCTAGGAGGGGTAAATTCCACCTACACTACACAAGTGTCACATATATGTAGAGAGCCTAGGTCAGTCCCATGCATGATCCCTGGTTGTCTGAGCTCCTATGAGCCCTGGTTAGTTGATTCTATGGGTTTCCTTGTCATGTCCTTGACCCTTCTGACTCCTACAAACCTTCCTCCCTCTGGAAGTGGTTTTTTAAGGAGATAGGCTCTTGTCACATAGGCAAGGCTGGCTCCAAACTC